AGTATATCGATGGATTTTGTTACGGGATTGCCGAATACGCAAAGAGGACATAATGCTATTTGGGTGATTGTTGATAGGCTTACTAAATCGGCTCACTTTATTCCGATTGATATTACTTATTCTTTGGAAAGGTTAGCCGAGATTTATGTTGGCACTATTGTGAAGCTTCATGGAGTTCCTAAGAGTATTGTGTCGGATAGAGATCCTAGATTTACTTCAAGATTTTGGGAGAGTTTGCAAGGTGCCTTGGGTTCTAAGTTGAGATTGAGTTCGGCATATCATCCGCAAACGGATGGTCAAACCGAGAGGACGATTCAATCGTTAGAAGATCTGTTGCGTGCTTGTGTGCTTGAACAAAGTGGTGCGTGGGACGGTTATTTAGCGTTGATTGAGTTCACCTACAATAACAGTTTCCATTCGAGTATTGGTATGGCGCCATTTGAGGCTTTATATGGACGGAGATGTCGAACACCTCTGTGTTGGCATGAGACGGGTGAAAGGTCGGTAGTTGGTCCTGAAATGGTACAGCAAACGACGGAAAAGGTGAAATTTATTCGGGAAAAGATGAGAGCTTCTCAGAATAGACAGAAAAGTTATCATGATAAAAGGAGAAAGGATCTCGAGTTTCAAGAGGGAGACCATGTGTTTTTGAGAGTTACACCGGTTACGGGTGTGGGTCGTGCTTTGAAGTCGAGAAAGTTGACTTCTCGTTTTATTGGTCCGTATCAGATTGTCGCACGAGTTGGTGCTGTGGCTTATCGTGTGGCGTTGCCTCCGAATCTTTCGAATTTGCATGATGTATTCCATGTCTCGCAACTTCGGAAGTATGTTCCGGATCCGTCACATGTGATCCCAATGGATGAAGTGGAAGTAAGAGATAACCTTACAGTTGAAGTTTTACCGGTTAGTATTTTGGACCGTGAAGTTAAGAAACTAAGAGGCAAGGATATTGCGCTTGTGAAAGTGTCCTGGGGAGGTGCCGCGGAAGGCAACATGACTTGGGAATTGGAAAGCAAGATGCGAGAGTCGCATCCAGAGTTGTTTGAATCAGGTGATATTTTCGAGGACGAAAATTTCTAAAGTGGGGGAGAGTTGTAACGCCCCGATTCTGAATTCCCATTAATTGTTGAGTCTTTTAATTTATTTAATTGATGTTTGTTTAAATTGAGAAATTATATATTGTTATTATGTGGTGTTTGCTTATTTTATCTATTTTACCGATTCGGAGAGTTTCCGGGGAATTAGAGTAAAAAGGGCATTTTAGACATTTAGCACTTTAGTGTAAGAATTGATTGATAAGTGTTGGAAAGAATTTGAGAGGAAAGAAATAGAGATAGAAATAGAATAAGAGAGGAAAAAGGAAGAAGATAGTAACATAAGAAGAAAAGCAAGAGAAAGAAAAGAGGAGAGGAGAAAGAGAAGAGAAAGTGGAGAGGAAAACCTAGAATCATCAAGGAATCATCACCAAAGCTTGCAATCGATCGGTAAGGGTGTGAAACTCCATCATCTCTTTAATGTATATGATTGTATGTGTATGTGTGTGGATTTTGTAGAGTTTCTACTCTTTTTCCACTTAGGTTAGAAGTTGGTTTTGTGAGTAGAATGAGGTTTTAATCGGTTAGAACTCGAATTAGACGATGTGGTTTAGTCGGGTGATGGTTGGGTTGTGCTACTGTGATTGGTTTGGATTTAATCGGTTGGTTGTGTGGAGTTTGGGCTTTGAGACAGCCATGGAAGTTCGGTCTTCGCAAGTTCGCCAGGCGAATGGCAGCGAAGCTTCGCCAGGCGAAGCCCAGCGAGCTGTAGCGAAGCAAGTCAGAAGCTAATACCCTGTATTCGCTGGCAAGTTCGCCAGGCGAGGTGAGTTGGCGAAGGTTCGCCAGGCGAGTGGGTAGCGAGCCTCAGCGAGTAATTCCAGAATTACTCCCAGTGGACTTCGCTGGGGAGTTCGCCAGGCGAAGGCCAGCGAGCATTCGCTGCGTGGCTTCGCCAGGCGAAGGTTGGCGAACCTGGCAGTGTTATTTTGTTTGCTGTTTGTTCATAGCATGATGTTTGGTTGATTCAATTATGATTAATGCCTATATGAATGATTGATGTGTGAACTGTTCTAACATGTCGTGCTGTGGGTGGCCGAAAGGCGTGAATCCTAGATTGTAGAGTAAATGGTGAATCTTGAATATTTGATAATCTTGTGTAATTGCTCGAATTGAATAGAAACGCATTGATGGGCTGATATGTGTGTAAACCATGTGTGGAATGGTGCATAATGTGAATGCATGATAGATATATGCGATGTATGTGATAAATGCAATGAATATGTTTGTGAGCATAGTATGCATTTTTGCGTCGATTGATCCCTCGGAGGATTTGCAGAACCTCGTATGATACGATGGTTATATTTGATTCCTTGGAGAATCGGTTGCATTGTGTGATTCCTCGGAGAATCGGTCATAACATGTAATCCCGTGGAGGATTGGTTAGAGTATTTGATTCCGTGGAGAATCTGCTGAGTACTTGATCCCGTGGAGGATCTGCTGAATATTCGATTCCGTGGAGAATCTGATGAATATTTGATTCCGTGGAGAATCTGCTGAGTACTTGATCCCGTGGAGGATCTGCTGAATACTCGATTCCTTAGGGAATTTGTTGAATGAGTCGGTACCGCATTTGCATCTGCATAGGGTCGTGTGTCGGTCTCTATGAGTTGCATGAGTCATCTGTGTATGATGCATTGGTTGTGTGAATATAACTGTGTATGTTATATGTGATTGTTTGGAGGAAATATAGTGAATGTTCATGTGTATGTGTAGAGACATGATTATTTGTATATGCTTAATGTGGTGAGAACATAATTTGAGTATAACTTGTACCAATATGAGTATATGTATAGATACAATTTTATGCATTAACTGTTATGATGTTGTTTCTCACCCTTCTGCTGTTTTATAATGCTCTATGAGGCATTGCAGAGTAGGAAGCTGGAGGTTCTTTTGTGAAGCGATGTCTTCATTCTTTTTGGTCAATGGCTCTGATATGTAACATCTGGGTAGTTAGGAAGTCTTTGACTCTTTTGGAGTTACATTTGTTTTGATTCTTTTGTGATACATATGTGTATGTATCTGCTGTGGTTATGTTGTAAAGCATGAATTAACTAATGGTTGCATATACTTTTATGAATGAGATCGATTCAATATTTGGATGTTTCCGCTTTATTCTAAATATTGAGATGTGGGTTACCCATTGTTGCATATCTATTTTGAGCAGGTACTGTATGTGTGTAATTTCATGATAATGTGATGCGCCTCTTTTATACCATGTTTTAATCAAACTCTGATGAAATAAATTTTCTATGTGCCTAATTGAGTTATCTAATTTATTTGGGGTATAGAAAGGGGGTGTTACAATGCACGAATACGAAAGATTGAACAACATTGAAAAGGAATCAAATGCACAAAAGTCCAAAGGGGTACCTCCAATAGATTTAGTCGACGACACTTGTTTTGATTCGTTTTGAATTCTTGTATAATCAGACAGCTAATTGTAAATTTTTGAAATACAAAATAGTCACATTTTATTCTCATGCCTTATTTTTGCACATATGCCTTTTATTTGTCTATTATGATGTCCTTCTATATTAAGTTCTGCTTTAAAAATGTAAGTTCTGCTTTAAAAATGTAGCAGGGAAACTTCCGGATATGTATATACGGAAGATTCTTAATTATGTAGTTTCAGTGGAAGTTCTGGAGATCCATATTTGGAACCAATAATTATAGGGTCTTTCGTGGATATAGCTTCGGAAACAAGTTTGACAAGAAATGGTTGGTCCATATTCACCTAGGTTTTCTATAAATTTGGGGTTTCATTTGTTATCTTTCACACAAATGCAAAAATATCTCAATTTTTTGAAATCAAGATTCGTTGGTATGTCGCAAATGTCTCCTTTTCCAATGGCAAAACACTCAGGAAGACGTTCAAGCTCATGGATCTCCCCTCCCTCGTCGATATCATAGACGAGATCCAATTCGCCTACCTTACGATGACAAACGAAAGGTTGTGAAGCTTGAATATCGTTTACCTTCCGTTAACAACGACGGAAATGTTGTTTACAATGTGGCGAACGTATTTCGATTTCGAAGATTTCGCTCGAGTTGGAGGCAACGGTTTAAAGAACGGTCGACGACAGCTTAGAGATGTGCAGGCGTCCACCGAGCTATTGAAATGTAATATTTATATTTCTGTCAGAATCATCAATGTAACGCTGATTTTATTTTATAAATATTTATTTTATTGTTGCAATGTTGATTGTATGATATTCTGTTTCTAATTTTTTTCCGTAAATATGAATAAGAAAGTCTTCCGTAGATGCATTTACGGAATAAAAAAATTGAAAAAATATGCGTCCGGAGATACATCTTCAGAAGTAGAGGACATTTTTAAAAACGCACTTGGTACGTAAAAACCCAAGAGGTGGGGGTAAGAAATTCTCCATAAAATATTGTCATAGTTAAATTGTGGATAAATAAAAACTCTATTTATTTTGGCACGAGTAAACTAGGTATAACCTACATAAAAACTAGGTATAACCTACATAAAGCCTCCAAAAACCACATGAGACGACTTTCGCTACAAATTAGACCACTTAGATCATGTATTATCCACTATTTTTAATTCTATAACTAAACTTCCAATATACAACAAACAAAAACCAATCTACACCCGATTGTCTAGTCGTACATTAGTAGGTAATAATACCATCATCCATTTTAAAGGAATATGAATCATGTTACTCAAAAACTTATCAACAAACTAATCAAAACACATTTTTGATCACCTGTAAGCAGTAGCAATACCATCATTCATTCTATATATTCATATACTACATTCTTCCCTAAATATACCCCCCTGGGTTGACTAAATAACAAGAATTAAGAAACTAAAAGACTTTGTACCACCCACTGCATTATCACATATGGTAAATAGAATTTGGGACCACTGGTAGACTAGTAGATATCTACATGTTCAAATCCAGTAGGGTAGGTCTTATACTTAAGACGCTTCTTCTTCTCGGGAGTTTCGTGCACCTGTGCATTCCTTCCAAATGTCTTGAGCTGATAATTTTCGAAAGCCTTAGAAACAGCTTCCACCTTTGTTAATGTCAAAAAATCAGTACATCAGTACATAAAGTGCATATATTCAAACATTTCCGAATTGTGAAAATACATTTTTTGCCTCTTGTTTCTTTGCTGCTTACCAGTTCAGGCTTCTTACTGTACACTCGCACTATGATGTCTTCGTAAAATGCTGGCAACAAATGACTGATTCGCTCGTTTTGGATGGGAAATTTTTCATTACTCTCGTAGTCCTGACACAATAATATAATGCAATTGAGCCTTCAGCCATGTAAAACTTTATGCAATAAGGAAACTAAATAATTTTGGGAAGCAACATTTGAACAATTATAAATAGTAACCATGCAAGATATATTTGACTAATATGAATTATGGTGACTTGATGATAGTTATTTCAAGGACGCAACCTTGTCCAAATTTGGAGTCAAACATACACAGAAAATTTCGAAGGCATTATCAAATTGGGATTCCACATTGACAGGTGGTCAGCAATTGCAATATGCAATAATATCCTAACCACCTATTGGCCAAAACAAAGTACTTATTTCTTTTAAAAATTTTACCACTTTCGTTTGCTTTGTGCACAATATGGTACTTTAACGTCATGTTCATAATACACTAACTTGCAATATAACTTCTTGAAGATAATCACAATTAGTTACAAAATATAATTGGTATTTATAGACCAAAGTTATTAAAAAAAGAAGAGGAAAGAACTGAAAATATAAGTGAAGTCAGTACCTGGAAAAATTTAATTCTGGATCCAGAAATGCATGCAAGAAAGAAGAAAGATAAGAGTGTCAGCCTACTGTTAGCAGTTAACAAATGATTAGAAACAATTAAGTTCTTCGGCATGTACCTTTCAAGAGGGTTTTTTGTTCCACGTGTTAAATCAATTTTAACATTGCTCACAACAACATCATCTTCTTTCAAATTGGAGCCATTTGTCTGTTCAGAAAAAATGACATTGAGAATAGAATGAGTATCTCAATCTGTTCCCAGAAAAGAAGGTAGGCAAACATGTACATAAACAGAATGAAAATGGACAATTATTACTATAACTTTTTCAACCTGGGAACAAACAATGTCTTGGGGTGTGATGCTTTTGAAGTTCTCCAGTCTTTCTTTTGGAACAGAGAATTCATTGCAGAACTACAAAATGAAGTAAATGGTTGCATCAATTTGACAGCATATGCTATTTATGAATTATAATTACTCTCTACATAAAATATTAAAGTCTCTCCACCTCTCAGAAAGATTGTCAAAAAAATAAATAATAGGTAAGCACCTATCCAAAAAAAAATTATCAGGTACTGTACTGTATGGCTGTACCTGGTAAAGATCTCTTCTGTGAATGCGCAGAATCAAGTCTCTGGACTCCTTCAACTCTTGCTGGGAAGAAGACTCAATTGTTTTAAGAATAGAGTCATCTAACTGAAATGTAAGAGTGTCAGATTCAAATTGATAAATAAAAGTTTTAACATCAATAGCTTGCAATATATTCAAGACCTTCCAAAAGTAAGATGGTTGATGAATAGAGGATGCAATAGGAAGATATGGATTTGCTTTCACCAATGCATCAATAACCATCAGCTCTATAGCCTGACAAAGGAAACAGCATAAAATATATTGTGCTTTCTCTCTGAACACAAACAGAATTTGTTTTGACATAACAAAGTTTGGTGAAATAATTGACCTTTACTTTTGCATGTGTATAGACTGTTCGATGCAAATCAGCACGGGTTGCAAATAACTTGTGAATTGTCAGATCTGACCAACATTTCAAACAAGAATAATGTATATAATTTACAGTTTTCTGCACTAACAACAATGAGAGCAAAGTTTTTAGTAAGCACTAACAATCTTTAGCACGATAGCAAATTTCGTCATCCATAACTTGCATGGTTTCCATCAATCTGAAAAGACAATATAATTTGAATCAAGTTATAATTAATTACCAACCTCATATCGAGAAAATAGGCATGGAACGAAGTATGGGATTTAATTCAATAAGAAGCCCATGTTGCCGCACTGGTGTACAATGGTGCTGTCACCTACTGTCAGAACACCAACCCAACAAAATAAAGCCGCCTAGAGAATAAAAATAAACACCTTTCAGGCTGAAAGTTGCACCCTAGGCCACACGCACGTGAATCACGAACAATGTAATCAAACCTGCAAATTCTTGAGTCCATTAAGGTTCTATATTTAAGAGATTGGATATCAAGGAGACATGTGCATCGGGAGGAAAGAGGGTAAAAAGTATCAACTTACTTGTCAACATCAATTCCATTGCGACCATTTGCAACAATATCATATAAGAACTGATTTTCCTTTTATGTAGGAGAAAATTTTGAAGGAAATAAGTATAATATTGTTAAAGAAAGTGGTATTGTATGAATAAAATTATCAGAAGAAAATAAAATTTTGGACACTAAGATGACAGACTCTTTGTGGAGTAGGATGGTCAGAGCTAGAAGTGATCATTTCCTGCAAAAAGAAATGAAATTTATCAAAGCTCCTTGTATACGAACTGAAATGAGGAACTCAGTCACCAGTTCTTATTCTTGAGAAATATCAAATTTTAAAATTTTAGGAATGGAACATAAAACAGAAATGGAAGTTGTGGCCAAACTGAAAAATAATCATCAAAAGATATGTCATTGTGCTGTATCGCAGAATTTTGGCTTCAAAAAACACAGAAAAGTCGACGAAAATTCAATTGATCATTTAAGTCTAACCTTTGCTTTTTTGAGGAGTTGAGGATCCAAATCAATATTGTGGTGATCAACAATGTAGTCTATCATTTTCTCAGACATTTCCTCATGAGACCTGAAAGAATAAATAAGAAGCATCAAAACGATGGATTCTCCATGTTGGAATAATTGCAGTTTTAGCAAAACTCTAGTCACTTCCAAAAATCATAACAGAGTAATCTTTGTTGTGGATGAGTCATGAATCATGATATTCATATTATATTTTTGTCAATGGACTGTGAAAGGAGTAATCAATACCAATACAAGTAGAGATGGCAAAATGGATGGATTTGATTGTTAATAGATGGATTAAAACAGTTCATTAATCCATTAACAATCCACTAAACCTTTCTTCAAAAAATCCAATCAAATCTATCCATTAAGGAATATAATCCAATCCAATCCATCCATTAAGACATTTCTAATGAATGGATATCCATCCATCCATAAAATTAACTTAAATATTTTATTCTTTTTAATTTTCTGTTAATTTTACAAAAACTTTTTTTTAAAATTTTTAAAATTATAAATATCTATCAGTTTTATGTAACTAATTCTAATCAATTAACATATTAATTAACTTTAACTTTATAAATTTAACCAACTAACTTCTCATTAACTAATTCTATGCAAAGAAAAACAAAATTTCATAAGTACCAATTAATTCAATACGTAACAATTAAGTCTGAGCATCATTAATATTTTCATGGAGAAAACAAATCATTGTTTGCATATTTAATTAACTATATGCATATATACTGTAGTATAGTTCCTTAAATTAAGTATACGAAGGTATTGTTTTACATACTTGTCCACACTTTTTGATTATATATATATATATATATATATATATATATATATATATATATATATATATATATATATATATATATATATATATATATATCATTTTCATGTTTACATCACCAACAACAAATATTTTCTTTTTTTACATTAAAAAAGATACTGGAAAGAAAAACTATGGGTGAACAGTGTGAGAAACAAAAATGTCAAGAAATTGCTTAATGAAAAATTTTTCATGTTTCTTTTTAATAAATACAAAAATTTAATAAGTAACAAACTAAAATCCATTGGATTTACGAAATGAGATGGATGGATTGAATTCATTCATATAATTTGATGGATGGATTGGACCAATCCATTAAATTTGTTTTTTATTTAATGGATGGATTGGATGGATAAATTATTAGATGGATTAGATGGATATTCTCTTAATGGATTTTATTGTCACCCCTAAATACCAGAATTAAAAATGAAACAAGCATGATTAAAAGCACAAAGTCAACATATACTTTTTTTTATCCAGAACACCAACATTACCAAGTAGAGCCATTAAGAACCAAGGGAAGGAACCCACGCTCAAAAGTGTGGCTGAAGGGCCCATGACCAACATCATGCAGTAAACCTAGACACAGATGACAAATGATAAAGTATTGGAATTAGAACAGTTAAAACAAACTAAATTTGGTAGAAGATGGAAGTTACCAGCAAGTTTTACTGCATATACATCAAATTTTTCAATACCAAGCTCGGGGCCCTGAAAAGGATGGCAAGACCACATGACTGCTTAGCACTATAACTCACAACTGATAAGGAGTATTTAGATAAGACGATTGAAAAGTGTATACCTGGAATTTTTTAATGATATCAACAGCTTTGCCAGCAAGCCAATAAACACCCAATGAATGTTCAAAACGAGAATGTACAGCCCCAGGGTAAACCATATGACATAGGCCTGGATCACATAAGAAAGAAGGTTAAGTTCATCTAAAATGAGTTTGATTATGTTGTAAAACTGACAGAATTGCAAATTAACATTCTAAAAAAACACGATAACAATTTAATATTGGAAAAAAGATGAGAAACCTGCTTGATTGACAATTATTAAACTAGGGAAAAGTAATATCATATATCTACCCAATGGTTTATTACTTTATGATTTTCACAAGCATGCAGCTAAGTCAATCTAACTGCAAAAGGCAATGGAAGGGGGAAAAGTTGATGCTAGCAGATTTGTAATATTAGAAGAGGATAAGGGAAAGCTAAGAAGTTGAATATGAAGCACTTGTAATAAAACGTGCTCATTAGATGATAGACAAAAACCAACATTGTTACAAATTAAGAGACCCTAGACTCATTACAAATCTATTACAGGAAGCCTGCATTTGCATGTGGCTGATTACTGTGACCTAGCCACAAGAGTCAAGAAAACTCAAATTTGTGACCTTTGATTACATGCAATTTTGCATGATAAACATGCATTGACAACACATCCAGTTATTTTTCCAATCCTAATTCCCCTTATTTAGTTTGATTTGTATTCAGAGAGTACTAATTGTTCACTCACCAAGCTGCTTCAAATCACGAAGTCTGCATAATAAACAGCCATGTAAAGGGGAAAAAATGTCAGTACGTTAAGTGTAGTTATTCGCCTCTATATTTCACATTGAATCTATTTTTTGTAAGGCACACTTGCCTTTGAAATTGTTCTGTGTCAACAAACTTTAAGTAGATCTGCAACAAACAAGAGATTTCCAAGTTCCATCACAGCCAAAACACAGAAAAATAAAACTCTTAATGCACTTTGGATAAAAAAAGAGTACTAGCTTGTAAGATGGTTATAAAACACCACACAAGCCAAAGAAAACATATTACAAGTTTGTAACAATTACATTATGTTAAAGAAGACTCATCTAATCGTCTTATGTATTATAAGGCAACCTCTAAGGACTCTAACTGATTCAAGGATATATCAGAATCAATATTTTAATTCCTGATCTGATTCAACCTGTTGAACAGTGAACCTGCTGTTTTAGTTTTAAACAGTCCGTTACCACGAAAAAACGGCCGCGAATACGGTATCAAAAGATGTCAATACCGTTACTCACACCATGGCGACTGCAACTAGTGTCGCGACATCTGTATCAACAGACCGTTATTTAAAACCTATTTAGAGCTTTCCTTTTGGTTCGAGCTGTTTATGATAATCGGAGTCTTACACTTTCGATGTCCAATTCGGTTTAACAACATCTATCATTATAGAAAGTTTATCTATACTGATTTGTCTTCTAATCTCACTCGCTAACGCTAGTACAATATTTTGCATGAATTGACATATACAGGTAAATCCTCAATAATTGCCGCTTAAATCGGTTTTCAACTATATAATAACTTATTAAGTCCGTCAAAACCTTCTATAATTCTAAAGCAGTTCCACATTTTTCTATCACTGATTGTAACGGTAACAAAAAGCAAAAAGCAAAAAACACGAATAAGCATAGACAAACTCTCGCAGAATCTTCTTCAATCTACTATCGATCAACAATATAAAAATCATGCAACGATTTTCTATTTTAATTGTGAACTCTATACATAAACACGACATTGTAATCGAGAACAGAGAACGAATAATAAAACAAGAAAAGTAATATTCGAAGTAAAGATTAAACGAAGAACCGAGAATCGGAAAAAACGATTACAGGCTCGAGAAAGATGTTGCCGTGAACGTTATCACGGATGTGCTTGAGGAATTTCCGTTCAGAAGAGACGGAATCGTTCGAGGAAACAGGAACGGCGACGGTAGAATCGGTTGTCATGGAGTGAAGTAGAAAAGTGATGGAGAAAAAATGCAGAAAAACGGAGCGAAATCTGAAGTGTGCGTTAGGGTTTGTAGAAGAGAAGGAGAAAGGGAGAGAAACTGAAAAGAAGTTGAAAGAGAGAAATGAAAACGTGAAGGAAGAGAGTTGGTTTTTAAACAGTTTCGGACATGGCAAACTTTTTGAAGTGACGGGCATGGACGTGAAACCGCCAAAATGAAATTCTTTCACAGACGAGTATTAGGCGCGTGTTTGCACACGCGGTTGATATCGTTGAGAATGTGTGGCTTTGTTTGTATTACGGTAAGATGGAAAACGGGGAAAGTTTGCTTCAGGTTCAGGTAAGGAATTAAGGGTGTAAAAGTGTCGTGTTTAATTTATGCCTAACTTTCGATTTTGGAACGGGAGGAAGTATTAATTAAGAGTCTATGCATTAAATTTTAAAATTTAATAAGTACTATAAAACTTTGTGTTTGAAATTCTGTGATGTGATTGATAGGATTTTTAATTTTATCAAATGATAAATAAAACTTTGTGTTTGAAATTCTGTGATGTGATTGATATGATTTTTAATTTTATCCATTGAAAGAAAAATTAGTTTTTTCGAGGGTGTTTCGTTAAAATTATAATCTCAAAAATATTATTTTTAGAAATATTATTGTTAGAGCAACTATAACGCAGAGTTGTTAAACCAAAATTCTTTATAGTTTACGTTAGTAATAAGGAATTTGCATTATAGGAGAGCTGGCATGGCATCCAAATGAACTAAAATTTAGTTCTCATTATCTATATAGTTAACGTTAACTATGTCAAACCTATTATAATATTATTTAATATTAATAAAATATTCCAAATATTCCAACAACATTAAAGTAATGATATGATATTTGAAAACGGTCATATTATCATTTTTTACCTTCTATAAATTCTATAGAAATTTTAATTTTTTTTACACACAGTTTTACTACTAAATTTTTTTCTTTCAATTTCCAATCTTATTTATTTATCAAATGGATCCAACCAATCGAATCCTTATTATAATTATATTTCTATAAAAATGTAATTTTTTTTATGTATTATTGTGAATTTTGTATCATTTTTAATTTTATAATAAAATATATTTAATATTATTTTTAAGTTTTTAAGGTAAATTTTATTTAAAAAATTATATGTATTTTAATTAAAATAATTAAATTAATGGTAACTTGAATAAAAAATATAAAATGTGGGATCAAGTTTTGGTTTCTTATAGACAACCACCATTAAAGTAAAAACTACTCAAATCAACTATAAATTTTTTAAATCCTACAAATCACTTTGGGTCCACAAAAAGTATCTTAGTTTACCCATTTAGTTTACTCCCACTAAAGATGCTCTTAGAAAATTTATTCTTATGAATGTGTTTGGCAAATAAATAAAGTTTTTTGAAATATTTTTATGTTTTATTTTTATTAAATTTTAAAAATTAAAAATTAAAAAATAAATGTGTTAAAATAACATGAGAGTGGGAAATTATGGTTGGTTATTTTATATTCCCCATGGAAATGTAAGATTTTCATCCTTTAACATCAAAATAAAAATGAAGAAATTAATGAACAAAACATATTCCTGAGAATAAAAAGTATCGGACATAAATTATTAAAACTTGAAACAAATAAAGGAAGATAGAAATTTCAATGTCTCATTCCCAAGAATAATATTTGTATCCATGAAACAAACACTCCCTTAGTGTACATTTTTTTTTAACGTAAGAATATTGAATGGATAGCTCCTCTAATGCAATAAGAAGTAGTGGTAGTGGGTTGTTTTGTCCATTTTCGGATTGTTATGCCTTTTTTTATATTTCATCTTACTATTTGATTGAAGACAATAGTCTAAAATGTCATTAATCAATTTAATGGTCATTAATAACTATTGATTTAGTAATTATCACGTGTGGGAGATATGTTTGAACATATTGCTGGTTGCTCATAAATGTATATCCACAAATATCTTGTCTGCTGGTTGCTCATAAATATATACCCACAAATATCTTGTTTAGGTCGACCTTCATCGCAGAAAACCTCTGAAATGGGTTGTGCCCGATTTGGTTGTATCCATAATTCGAATCATTCTACTTTTTTTGGGATGTACATAACCCCTAAGCATGAGGCCTAAAAAAGAAATATACTTAAAGGAGAAGCCATTCAACCAAACTTCAAATCAAGTCATCTTCATTTTTTGGAATGTACACAAACCCTCAAACATGAGGCCTAGAAGGGGCGAGATACTTAAGGGAGAGGTCATCCAAGTAATTCTTCCATGTTATTCAACCACACTTCAAATTCATCCATTGTCATTTCTCGGGATGTACACACCCCTAAGTATGATGTTCGGAGATGCGAGATGCTTAAGCGAAAAGTCATCTGAGTCGAGGATTATGTGAGACCACTCTTTTTCTCCAAATTCACCTTGTCTGATATTCAGTCTGCCACCAAACTCTTGGTCTTTTGCATTTCAAAAAGTGATTTAATGTCTCATGATTGCTTTTCACTGGGACTTACAATGCCTTTATTGTCATCATTATATCTAATTATTAGGCCTTCTACCCTTTGCCTATGAGGCTGTTTTGGTGCCTAACACATTATTTAAATAGTGGTTCTTCAACCAAAATCCTTCACTAACCCTTTCAGAAACTTTGTGCAACCAATTATGTTATTCCTTTTGGATTGGCTGCATTTTGCAAAACAACATCATGGAGAAGTGTTCAAGTTTGCCAAGCTACTTCAAGATAATTTTTCGGTGCAGAGGGACACATGTTGGACGCGATGTCGCAGCATGTGAGTACGACATTTGGGTCTTAATCAACATTCTAGATTATTGTGTTTTTTGACGAATTTTCTGTTGAATATTCAATTAGATTTTATTGCTTTTATTTAGCTATGAAAATCAAATCAAGTTTATATGCGATTTAAATTTGAATTTGAATTAAAACAAATCATATATTTTTGTTGGAGATATTTATAGAGAAAATAATATCCAACTGATTATGCAAAGATTCTGGACAAAATTAAATGCAGATCTACAAGGAGAAAATACCATAATACTTTTGTTATATAAGGAACTCAAGACCTACATTAGAAAGCAAGCAATATTCGTTGAACATTTAGATTGTTGGGGTTTAGAGTCCTTGTTATTGCTTTATGTACACCTCTAAGTTTCAGTAACTTGGCATAAAATGTTTGTATAGTTGAGTTGTAATATTCAATATTGATATTTGGTTTAAACACCAATCACTAGGGTTTAGTGATTGAGAGAAATTGACATGGGTTCTCATATTTAGGGAGAGTCCTAAATAGAAATTCATTGGGTAGTGTTATGAAGAGACATTGAACAACATAAGGTTTGTTGTTGCTTGTAAGACTAAATGTACCAAGCTACTAATAGTGAATTTCCTTGCTTGGGTTGGAAGTCAACCCTCCAGACGTATGTGTTTTTGCATCAAACTGAGTTGCCAATTATTGTGTTCTTTATTGCTTTTTACTCTATCATCTTTTACAATTGAATGTGTTAATTGTGGAGATTCTGGTTTAACTTGTTGAACCAATTATTTAAGACATCGTGTTCGACATTTGTCTCCTAAGGAACAAAGTTTCAATTGGCATCAAAGCAGACACCCTAAAATGTTGGGTGAGCTCCAAAGAAGATAAATTATGCTCAAATGGAGACAATTAAAGATGGAGGATCGGTCTAAAAACCACTTGTCTTGGATGGAACCAATTGTGATTATTGAAAGGCTATGGTAGTTTTATTTCTCAAATCCATGGGCAACAAAGCATGTAAGTCTGTGATAAAAGGGTGGAAACATCCTGTGGTTTCTTCTAAAGATAGAACCACTAGCTCGAAACCAGAAGTTGAATGGACTGATACTAAAGATAATGAAGCTCATGGAAACTCCAAGGATTTGAGTGTTGTCTTCAATGGTGTGGATAAGAACATGTGCAGGTTAATTAATACATGTTTAGAAGCTAAACAAGCATGAAAGATTCTTATAACTGCTCATGAAGACACCTCCAAAGTTTTTATGTCAAGGTTGCAGCTTCTTACCATTAAGTTCATAATATGATTTGGTGCTTGAAATTTTAGTGTAGACAAAGCATGTATTTAGTATTTAGGAAAATTAAGCATATATAAAAAAATGTAAAATTACTTCTATAAATCATTTAACATCAATGTAGACAAAACACTGTGTCAGTTAATGTGACATATCATCACTTCTAACCTACTCAAACTAATTAGTACTCCATCTGTTCCATAATGAGTAATTTAGTTGACCATTTTGCACAAATTAAGAAAAAGGAATAAATCAAAGAGAGAGTGATATTTTTACTAAAGTACCCCTTATCAAGTATTAGGAACGATGAAAGTAATATTAATTAGAGAGTAGAATTAGAAAATATGCATTGAAAATTGAAATGGGTCATTCATTTTGGGACAATTTTTATTTTAAATGGGCCACTCATAGTGAGACGGAGGGAGTACTAATTAATTAAGAGTTATATGCATACAAATTCAAAATTTTAATCCATATAAAACTTGCGTTTAAAATTTTATGAGATGAACACAAGAGCACTTGGATGAGATGGCAGAGTCTCTTCCAGCTTAATCAGAGGACTTAAGTTAAAATCTAGCCCTGGAAACACAACAATGTTAAATCTTTTAGGGAGAGTTTGATGTCTATTATGATCCTACAAGACTCGAGGGATTAGTCTCTGCAATTGCGCGCACAAGATACCCAGTTTATACCCAAAAAAATTGTATGATGTGACATCGATTTAGATAAGTTGCTGTCATTTATTTGATGGAAAGAGCAATTTGATTGACATTAGAAAATTTGAGGAAACTATTATCTGCATTAAGATGAAAGGTTCTATGGTAGAGCGAAGAAAATAAACATGAAGTACATGTAATTTTCTATTCTCTCTGAAGTAGGTAATTCTATTTTTAAGAGCACTATCGAT